GTGAGGAAATGCCTGAAGCAGATGAGAGATTCAGAAAGAAGGTCAGTGTGATTGGAGCAGAGTTGGAGGAGATGGAGGGTGATGGGAAAAGATCAGACTAGATGCAGCTCAGATGAGGAAGAGCTTTTGTAAGTGCAATGGGGAGTTGTCAGTGGATGAGTGACATGCTCTGGTTTACATGTTAAGATCCTCTAACAACTGTGCACGCAATGGATTGCAGTGGCACATTTAGTAAGGACACTCTTCTGTTATCCATGTCCGATGATGGTGGATTTGGACAAGGGTGACACAAAAGAAAGAAAAAGAGAGATTCTGGAAATGGGTCTGACAGAATTTGCTGCTGTGTTTAATGAGAGTAAACAAAAGGGCAGAATCCATTGTGACACCTAAGGTTTTAAAAGAGTACTAACTGCAATAGAGTTCTTTTTCAAGTAGCACAGAAATCTGCCTCTTGCAGCTGCCATATATGAGCTATAATTCTGTCTTTAGGAACCTGTTAAAAAAAAAAAAAAAAACAGCCCATTCTAACCTTCAAAAGTTTAAAAATAATTATTGTGTTCCTCCTCAGATTTCGTTTCTTTGTCTAAATATTTCAAATGTTTTCAAACACTAAAGTGAGGTGATTTTAGATCCCTTGACAACTGTGAGGGTTCACTTCTGAATGTGTTCGACTTTGGTTCTCTGTTTCTATGACCAGCATCCAACAATCACCAAAAAGCATACAGTCTAATCATCATTAAGCAGAATCAGCTTTTCACCTTCATCCTAGGTAACAACTTTCTATTAATTTCTTTTTGACAGCTACTTTGTAGTTGCCCGTCAAAATCTAATATGGGAGACAAGAACAGTGCCTGTGATGATGTAAGTTAGAATGAAATGAGACTATCAGGCTGTTCTTGTGTTGCTAAAAAGAAATACCTGGTGCTGGATAATTGATAAAGAAAAGAGTTTTAACTGGCTCATCATTCTGCGGGCCATACAAGCATGGCCTCTGCACCTGTCCGGCTTCTGGTGAGGCCTCAGGAAGCTTCCACTCTTGGTGGAAGGCACAGGGAGAGCAGACGGGGTCATATGGCAATGGCAGGAGCAAGGAGTGGGGGCAAGTCCCAGACTTATGAACAACTAGATCTCACGGGAACTCACGAAGTAAGAACTCACTTATCACCAAGGGGATGGCGCTAAACCATTCATGAGAGATCTGCCCCCATGATCCAATCACCTCCCACCAGACCCCACCTCCAACATTGGAATCCCATTTCCACATGAGATTTGGAGGGGACAAACATCTAAACTATATCACAGACTCTAAGGAAGGTATACATGGACCAATGGGGGAGAGTTCAGATTTGGATGTAGGAGCCAAGGATGGTTATGGAGGAATTTGAACAGAAAAAAAAGTTGAGTAATGGGAAAGATACTGAGGAGTGGCAGTGGTGAGAACTGGAGAAAGCGTGTGAGGGCTTTCTCCCTCACACATGTGGGGGCATCCTAGATGTAAGAGTGAGGAATCTAGCCTTAGAGTGTTAGGTAAAGGGATGTTGCTGAAGGTTGAGGACGTAGTGTTGATTTTTTAAACCAAAAGAAATAATTTCACTTCAGAAAGACTACTCTGGTATCAGGCTTATTTAAATAAGGGAAGACAGAAGGAAATAATATTAATTTCTTGCAGTGGTCCAAGAAGAAAGTAATGAAGGGTTAATGAGGCCACAATGGGGGGAAGGGGAGGGGAGGAACGAATGCAGAGGGAGACTGGGGATAGAATTTCCAGAGCTTTAACTGTTCAGATGGAAGGGACCAACAAGCAAAATGAAGAAGGCATGCCTTCTCACCAAGAGAAAACTGAGATTGACACAGAAACCTCACTCTTCACGTATCTGGATTATACACTTCCATATAATTATTTTTAGACTTATCACACATGTCTTTATAGCATGCAAAAAGAAACTAAAATTTCCTCTTAAATTATAATGTTTTGGCCACTATGGAAATGGTAGGAAATGAAATCTTATTACTTAGAAATAAAAGATGTATTTAGACTAATATAGTTTCAGTAACTATATTAAGCCCCCAAATCTGCAATTCTATGCATGAACTGATTGGATTGCACAATGCGTATCACTGAAGTCAGAATTCAGAAAGCAGTCACAATATGGAATTTCACTTGTGGCTCAAAGTTTTTTCTCTCAATGTATACATATGATCGACAACATGCCCGCTATGCCCTGTGTAGGGCCAACTGGCATTTCCCCGCCTTGCGTTTGCTAAATTTGAGGAGTGGAGGAGGAGGAACAAGAGGAGTGAGGAGAGAGAAAGAAGGAAAAAGAGGAGAGACTGCCTTAATATGTGAAATACAGAAAAAATACTTAGCAGCTAAGACAGTGTATTCCTATGTAAAAATTAGCACCATCATGTTTCTTTGCTTTTCCTTTGGATTTTATCTTTTAATGGTTAATGTGTTTCCTAACTGATTTGACCCAAATAAAAATACATTTACTGCTGTTTCATTATAACTTGAAAGTAATATCAGAAATTACATAAAAGTGTGAAGAAGAAACCAGATCCACACATCGTCCATCCACCACTCAGAGATAATCAATGTTAAAATTTCATTTATCTCTCTGAACACTTTCCTCTGTGTATCCTTTTAAAATAAAAATTAGGTTCTCTTTCTTTATTTCTCCTTCTTTACTTTTATGTGTCCTTCTTTATTCTTGATATGATACAATTGTGACCGCTTCCTCTTCTTGTACCTCTTCATTTCCCCTCCCACACCATTCAGTTCTAAAATCTTTAGAAGGAGCGCAGCACAGTAAGTGTCCGTGCTGGGTAAGATGTGCAAAGGAGCCATGGCGCTCCAGAATGTGGAGGCCCAAAAGGGAGTGGAAGGTCTATGTAGCAGGACTGCCTGCAGAAAATCAGTACTCAAGTGGGGTGAGGAGGGTGTCCACGCGAGGAGCAGCCTGGGTTGGGGATTACAGGCAAGGAGTGTATCCATGCAAAGGAGTGGCCCAGGATAGAGAGGTAGAGGCCAAGCCATGTGAAGAAGATCCCCTGCAGAGCAGCAGCCTGACCTAGCACCAGCCCAAGGGAGGTGCTATGTTTTGATTGTGTCCCTCGAAGTTCGTGTGTTAGAAACTTAATCCTCAATACAACAGAAGTGAGAGGTGGGACTTTCAAGAGGACAGAGCCCTTGTGAATGAATTGATGCTGTTATGAGTGGGTTAATTATCCCAGGGGTGGGTTTCTAATAAAAATGTGAGTTTAACCCCCTTCCTTTTACTCTCTCTCTCTTTTCCTCTCTTGCCTTCCACCTTCTGCCTTCCCCATGGGACGATGCAGCAAGAAGGCCCTCACCAGACGCAAGCCTCTCCATTCTGGACTTCCCAGCCTCCAGAACTGTAAGAAATAAATCTCTATTCTTGATAAATTGCTCAGTCTCAGGCACTCTGTTATAGCAGCACAAAACACAGTAAGCACAAAACAGACTAAGACCGGAGATGAGGACGACGTCCCTCCATAGGAGGGTAGCAGAGGCCAAACTGCAAAAGGACAGCATCCTTGTGGGGTGTGGCCCACCAAGGGGCATCCCAGCTCATGTGGGCTCTGAGGTGAGGAGGGTATGTGCAAAGAATGGCTCCAGGTGTGGAAACAATAAAGTTATTAGTTTATTTGAGGAGAACTGGCATCTTTAGCCATGGAATTTTCCAATCAAGAAATTATTTGTTTCTCTATTTATTAAAATCTTTTATATCCTTTAATATAGTAAAATTTTATTCTCTCATATTAAGTTTACTCTTAGATGTTTAATGTTTTTGTTGCTATTGATAATGATGTCCTTTTCACATTATGTTCTCTTTTGTGGTATACAGGAAGTCTATTAAGTATAATACTCATTTATAATTAATTACCTAAGTCAACTGTATTATTAGTCTATTAGTTCTACTAATTTTCAATTGATCCTCTTGGGTTATAACTGCCTTTCAATGTATTGAAATTAAAATTGGGGCTGTCACTAAATTTTGTTAATATAAAAGAACCTAGGTCAAACTGCAAACAGAAAGAAATGAATAAAAACATTTTAAATGGTCATTCATCAGTTAAGTCATTTATTCATTTCTCACATATTTGTTGAGGTATGCTATAACCCTGGCCAAATTACATAACCTATAAAACTCTCTGTTTTCTTAACTATAAAATGTAAATAATTAACCTATCTAAGGACTAAATGCTAAATGAGATAATGCATATAAATTGCTGGCATTGCACATGGTAAGTACTCAGTAAATGTTAACAGTGATGATGACTGGTAAAGAAATATGCTATAAACTGTCGTTCCCAATGCCTGCAGAGCCACCATTAGTTGAGAGGATGATCAAGCTCTTCCTTTTTTTGTTCAATATAGCCAAGTGTGCATTTCTTCTCCTCTCCCCTCCACCATTGGGGGAATGACCCTAATTAACTTATTAACTTTCTCTCTCTCTCTCTTTCTCTCTCTCTCTCTCTCTCTCTGCTTACCTCCCTTTAGCTGTAATTCCCTTGCCTTCAATTTCATTTGTAATTTCTGAAGCCTTCTATATATAATAGGCCCCCAATAAATACTGATGGACTTCAAACAAAATTGGAAAACTACAAGACCCTCAAAAAGTTCTACGTCATATGAAGGTATTACTAAGTCAGGTCACTTAATAGACAAGACACTTCCATAATGAAATCCGAGGTAACAATTAACTAAAATTCTGTAAAATCTGACTGAGTCATATTAAAGTTCCATATGCAATAATATTAAATTTAAGATTTTTAATATAATGATTATGTCCTCCTCCCAAAAAGTATATGCAACATTCGGAATCATTTGCTGATGGCTGCTCTTCAATTTCACAGAAAACATACCTGTTTCCTTATTAAGTTGTAAATTGGGAAGCTACTTGTGGTGCCCATTAGCCAAAAACCTAATTTCTTCCAGAAATGTAAAAATAAGCAAAACTCAAACCATGACTTACCCACTTCAGCCAAAGTTCTGATACAGGATTCCACCGAGGCTTTCTGTGATGGGTTTGGCCAGGTGCAATTGTAAATTCTGAAGGCAGATTGCAGTAGCTGAATAAAAACTGGCTGATGTGTCTAAAACCAGAAAGAAGGTAGGCAAAAAGAGATGCTAAACTATTAACAGCCCTGATGTAGCGTCTATGCATTATCAGCAAGGTTCACGAAAATAACACAAAATACAATCTTTCAAGTTTCAGTGCTAGCTAATAAATATCTCATTTGTCAAACATTCATTAGGTACTCTCTTCATGAGAGGCAACATGCTACACACTATAGAAAATGGATTATTTTCATTTTAATTATATTCTAAACCAGAAAAATATGCCATTTCCTGAAGCCAATGACATGAATATTTTTTATAATCCATGGTTTATTCCCATGTGCAAATAAGCAGGTGTTTCTGGGTTGGTTGGTTTGTTTTGGTTTCATATGATGGGCAAGTAGAGGAGACAACCATTTTGAACTACAGAAACAATTTCCTGTGGTTCTATCTAATGGTTTAAAATTTTTCCCTAAAGAAAGTATAATTGAAATGATATTTTAGAAGAGTAATACACAATCACTGTAGAATATCTGTGGACCACAGAAATGTAAATCATCAAGAATCCTACAACACAGAGATACAGTATCAATATTTAAAGACATTTACTCCCTGAGTTTTTTGATGCATGTATGTTTATATATTCTTTACACAAACAAATTTGGATGATACTATAATGGAATTCAGTGGCCTAATATTACTTCATGTTTATTTTCTTGGTCATCAATTTTTCCTTTAAAACATGATTTTTAATTGCTATATAATAGACCATCCTACAGATACATCATAATTTATTTAGCTTTTCCTCCTTTTAAGGATGTTTAAATGATTAAATTTTTAGTATTATAAATACTCAGATTAAAAGTTTTATTATATAAACCTTTGTTAATTCTATTAGGATAAGTATAACTTCAGGGGCAAAATGTCTATCATTTAAAGAATTAACTGTGCAGTTATTTCAACACTTGGCAAACAATCAACATACAGATACGAAAGCTCTTAGTCTGCTTAGAGAAAGAGGAAAAATAATTCAATTTAAAGATGAGGGCTCTTTATTTAAAATAAAGTTTGGTAAACTCAGAAAGAGGCATAATAGTAAATAATATAAGAGAAGAACAAACATTTCAAGTGTAGGAAATAACTTTCTGAGCAGAAAAAATTTCCCCTACTCAAATAAGAGAAACTCTTTGCAACAGAATGCTTTGCAATTGTTTGACTTACCTGGAGGCTGGTACTATTGTCTGAAAAGGGGGAATTAAAGAAGCCGCTCACAATATTCATTATTGACTCAGTAACACACTTTTCCAAAAAGATGTCTGCATGTTTCCTGTCTGTAGTTGTGTTGCAAACCTGGAGAGAAAAACAAAACAACTCAGTATGTTTTATCATATTTTTAAACTACAACTCAGTATTGGAACCACCTAAAAATTGTCCTGAAATAGTTGTCAATAACATTTCTTCTGTTTTTTAAAGTTGTTTAGAAGAGAAGCATTTCAGCCTGAAGTCATGAAAATTGTATCATTCTTCAGTAGCTTCTCCATCAAGTTAGCCTGTCATTTCAGCCTTGAAACCAGAATTCTTTCACAGACCCCCAGCCTCTTCTTCCTAATTTGCTTCTCCCTTCTCTTGCACACCAACCTCTCCCTCAGCCTCCAAGTTTGGCTTTGCTAGAGAACACTTTTCCACTCAATGTAAGGTGACCAAAGATGAAACAGTCATTCCAAGTATAAGAAACGTGATTAACGGTAGTTAGCAATTCCAGACATTTTCACTCCTAACCCTCACTCAAATTGGAGGACACAAACACAGAAAGCATCTGGAGAGGAAAACAGATAGGTAGGAGAAGATAAGTCAAAATCCTCCCAATAATTTCGACGTTTTTATCCATGGATTATCTGAGAAGCATGGAAGTATAGGTTTGCATGCATTCTTCTCAGAGTGGACTCAGCCAAAGAGACAATGCTGAAGCTGGAGAAAGACCAGAAAAGAGCAGCCCTGGTTCCTGCTCTGATCTTTACATCTGATGAAATGAGGCAGTAATTGGTCATTTTGCATTTTGCTGTAAATTTCAATGTCAGCATGATCAAATTGCAAAAGCTAAGATACCTAATTAAAAACACACGAAAAAATGTTGGCTGGTGACAAGACAGAAAAACATAGAGATAAAAAGAAAAAGAAGTGGGAGTGGTGGGCAGAGAATGTGAGAAAAGACTGAAAAACTGCAGCAGAGAAAGAAAGTTTAAATTTTCACAAAATTGTGGTGGGTAATATGGGGGCCAGATGTTCCAGACGTTCTTAGACCATCCAAATTTTTATGTAATTTTTAAAAATTTTCAATAGGTTGCTTAACCAAAAGAATAAGTCAATGTCACTTAATCTGATATTGTTTAAAAAGCTTTCACACAAATTCATAAAAGAGAAAATTTCTCTTCTCAAACCATGTGTCCCGGGGCTTTTGTTTTGGGATCTGGGAACACTAATGCCAGCATTTGCCAAATGGAGGTGGGAGAAAGAGAACAGGGTTTATTTTGCATCGAAGTCACTTCCCATCTGAGCAGTTCGCTTTTTCCTCATCTATTCATTGACCCCTACCTGACTTTGTTTTTAAAGATTTTTAGTGTATCTAATTTCATAGGGTAATTGCAGGCACAGTGCAATTAATGGAAATAAATTACATCAAATTATGTAATCTTCTAGTTATTGTTCTAGCATATAACTTAGTGCCTGGCACACACAAGATGTTCAACAAACGTTTGTGAAATGAATGAATAATTTAGTAAATTTTTAAATGAAAGAGGGATAAAGGACTCTTATTTTGTTTTAGGTTAACTTTAGGTTGGGCTATATTCCTGGAACATCTAACCTAGGATTAATATTTAATTTAATTTACATGGTCCCAGATCTAATATAAAATTGATCTTCCTATGACAGATAAGAATTAGGATTTACTTCTTTTAGCATCTTCCTAACACTTGCTTTACAGTGAAACTTTCTGACACATAGCTTAAAAATATAATAAAGTTGAAGACGTAGCAGACCAATTCCATCACAACCAAAACAAAAGACCTCCCTCATTCAGCGACATTTCAAGGAATTATGTGGGGCTCTCTAGAGTCATTAGAGTATACCACACTGCATTTTCTGCAACTGGACACTTGCCAAAAAATGACCCAGAAATTTGCTTTTTAGTTAGTGGATTAATAAAAATAATCTATTTCTGGATCAAGACTTTTTTCAAAATCCTGGGTGCGAAAAGTCTGTGTTTTACAAAGCTACATGGAACCTATTACTCAGTTCATTTAAACAAGAAATTCAAATAATTTTTCAAGATGTTTTTTCTGTCCCCTATGAATGACAACATTTCACCTTGCATCTTATTATATCATGGACAGCCAAGAAATGTAGGAAGCACTTAAGAAAATCTTTTAAAATTTTTCAGGAAAAAGAACCTCATACATATGAACATCTCTTTATTTTCTTTTATTTTTATTTATTTTCTCTTTACAATAAAGATTGGACATGGCTCAAATAAAATTACATCATATCAAATTATATTTTTATGTGTAATACATACAGTTTAAAAGTTTTAATCCATTTGCACATATTATTCACATAACATTCTTTCCTATAAAACACTTTCATGTACTGCCATTATCTAAATACTTATTTTAAAAGGCTATATTTATTCCATCATTCTAATGCACCATCATGCTTTAATCCATTTTTGGAATGAGTTGAGGTACACATTAGCAATATTACAAATCATTTTCTTATCTTCTTAGTTATTTCCTTCTTGCTCATCTTTTATGATTTTTTTTTTTTGCTATTATAAAGAATTGTGCAAAATTACTGTATTTACTTTCAGATATTTTTGGCATATTTCACCAAAAGAGGAATCAACAGATGAGGGTATGTAGACAGTTTTATACTGTTGGGCTGATCCTCTAAAATAATAAATTTACAATACTGTCAGCAAACTATCCACAGATACGTAGGATGTTCCCTTATTACCACCAAATAGCTTTTGCTTTGGGGCTCTGGTTGTATTCAGCTAATATGAGGCTCTTGCAGGAGATTATAAAGTGGAAGAGGAAGAAGTGAGGCACCTACTCTACCTCTGCCTCCATCCCCATCTCCCTCTCCTTGTAGGGGCTTCTGTGTTCTGGATACAGCTGCTACTGAAGCCCTTCCTCCACACCTCCAAGCTTTCCCCAGGATCTAGTAATAATGCCTGCTCCACGTACCTTCAGGGTCTAGAGGTGGTAAAACCCCTCAGTACTCTCCTATCCCTTCTTGTTAAATCTGCCTTTGTTTCTTGAATTGTGCCATGTGTTTCCTACTATAACTGACTGCTACACCAGTAAATTATAATTGTTTTTATCAATTTAATTATACCTAAAAGTTATTTTTTATTTCCCTCGCTGTTAACAAGATTGGCCACTTTTCGTGGAATCATTTCATTTCTATCTTCTGTCATACAAACAATTCAAGCCCTGTAAACCATTTTCCAAAAACCTAATGACTGTACATTTAGTATGAGTAACATATTTTTATGAGCTCTTTTCAGTTGTCATTTCATATGTAATTTTTCATTCCATTTAGAATATTTCATTATATTTCATTGTGTAAACTACTTTTCAACATCCAGGCACTGTTATTTATTTTGTTCATTACTATTTATTAATATTTAATATAAACAAGAAAAAACTCCCTCTTAAAAAGAAAAGAATAGTCTATACATTTTTATTCTAGTTTTTAACTCTTTAAAATATCTGCAATTTGCTGCTGTAGGTGACCTAATTTATGAATTCTGATTATTTTTTCTCCATATGGATATTCAATTGTCCTCAAAACATTTATTAAATATTAATTCCTGCTGCATTCCTAGGTTACTTGAGGTTTGTCTTATAGTGTGTCATTACTGACTACCTAAATCTCTCCCCAAATCTCTAATATACTCCATGGATTTTTAAAAACTATTTTAACCTAACTCCACAGAATGAAATGATTCCCAATCTGTAATATGTTTCACAACCTGAAACAACCAAGTCGACCATCATTGTCTTTTCCAAGAAAAAAAAAAAATCCATATTTTTTATTTGTCTTCTTCTACTTCCAGATGAATTTTACTATATATTTGTCAGATTTAATGGCCTATCACATAAGGACACAAATTATTAAATTGAAGCTACATATTGGACTAGAAGTTAGAACAATGAATCAAACAAAACAACATCCCTACTCTATTAGACCCTTTTTCCCAATCAAGAGAGACACACGATAGACAAAGTAATAAATATATAACATGCTAAGTGGTAAAAATAAAGAAAATAACAGACTAGAGAAAAATAAAGCAGGGCAAGTGGTACAGGGAATGCAGTAGGCAGGGTGGGGATGGTCAAGGATTCCTGTTTATTTAAACAGCTTGGGTGGTATCCCTATATAAGGCAACATTTCACAAAGAACTGAAGTTGGAAGCAGCCATCAACATTTCTGTGGGAAGAGCAAGTAAAAAGTTGTCTCTGCCATTAGGATATATGCTCCTGGACACCAGGAACAAGCCTGTCTTGCTCACCACTGGACATGCAGCACTTCAGCACATAACAGATATTCTAAAATTACTTGTTGAACAAGCAGATATTAAGTGAAATTCTAGATACAATTGTGTCTGAACTTCTCCCCTCGCATATATGATGTCCTTCCTCTCTTCTGCTCTAAAAGTGACTGCTACCCTTCCAAGGATGGTTGTCTATGGTAAATAAGTTACCATATGTTGAGCAGCACTGTCCTACAGAACTTCCTATAATGATGGAAATCGTCTATATCTGTGATGTCCAATATGGTAGCCAGTAGACACAGGTGCATACTGAACATTTGAAATGTGGCTAGTGCAACTGAGGAAATGAATTTCTACATTTTATTTATCTGAATTAAAATTTACATTTAAATAGCCACAGTTGGCAAGCGGCTACCTCACAGGGCAGGGCAGCTCTAGAGCCAGTCGCATACTTTTGATCATAAGGAATACAACTCCTAAGATCACTTTAGTGTTTTACACAGACAGGAAAAGTGTTCCTCTAAATATCTGAGGGGATATCTCATATTTATTTTAATTTGCATTCCGTTACTTGTGAGGCCAAAACTTTTCCAAGCATTTGCTTTCTATATCTCCTTTTTATGTGAATCATCAGCTCATACACTCAAATAGCTTTCTTAGAATTCTAAATTCTTTTTTTAAACAGACAACATTTTCATAACAGCAATACATATTAATTGTAGGAACTCTGAAAATACAGAAAATATAAAATGGAAAAATGAAAATTATCTATAATCCTATAATTCAGATAAGA